AGTAGGCTTCGGAGGCCACCTGGGCCAAATTCAAAATTTCCTACCAACTGAAAATGTTTGGTGTGTCCCACGCGCTCATATTATGAACTCATGCAGTTGCGAGCGCCGTAAATCACTTACCGAAAAACAAACCCAAAGCTACTCCCCCCAACCCCCCCCCAAAAAAAAAACAAAAAAACAAAAACAAAAAACAAAAACAACAACAACAACAACAACCCAAAACAAAACGAAAAAGAAACCCCCCATCAAGTACAATGACCCTGTCAGTCCCCACCAGTATACGACCCAGAGTTGTCTCGCCTCACGGCCTGTGAGAACAATCGGGCCCTGTGCCAAGTTATTCTTGAGCACGCATCCGCATAACAATTTTAATAGGCACTGACAGTAACAGCGGACGTTATCTGAGCCACATCATGTCAACCGAGCAGAATTCATTTACCATCTTTTTTTTCATTTCTCCCGCGGGTGGTTGGAGGCTGCCACTCGATTGTCCTACTTTTTTGGACCGTCCTTTCGTTGTTGTTTTTTTTCATTCTGTGTTCCGTCCCTTTTTGTCCACGACGAAATGGCCGTTATTGTGTCGATTTGCTTTCCTTTACAAAAAACTCCAACCCAAACTGACGCCATCAAGTGAGTGTGAAAAAATGTGGTTTCTAAATAGACTGTTGAGAATTTCGGGGAGGGAATGGAAATCAATTAATGAGATACCGTTGTGCTGAAGAAAGAAGCCCACTTGAAGCGTTCGCTAACAAAAAACAGTCAATTAGGAAGAGACCGATGCAGTTTCTGGGACACTTGGATAGACATAAGGGCCTTGAAAATGTTGTCATCCCTTTAAAAGAAAGGCAAAAAAAGAGGAGAGGCAGGCAAAGAACAGATTACATAGAGATAGAGAACTTGAATAGATGGGTGACAGAGGAAAGGCAATGAATTACAGGTTTTCTGAGAGTATACGTGCAGAGAAACGTGTGGCTCTGTTTCAGATCTAGGACTTGATATTCAATGATAGGAGAGTGCCAATGCTGTCCTTGTCTGTCTGTCTGTCTGCCTGTTTGTCGGTCTGTCTGTCTGTCCGTCTGTTTGTTTGTCAGACGGCTTGTCTACTTTTTTCTCCGTGAAGAAGAGAAAAGCGGTGAAGGGAAAACATTACATAACAAGAGGCTCGTGTCTCTGACAGAGGATGGTTGGAGGGTGTCACCGGTGGGTCCTATTTCTTTTCTTTCCCTCTTTTGTTTCTGTCTTTGTAGGTGGTTGGGGGGGCGCCACTGGTATGTCGTACTTCTTTTTTATCATCTGTTATTTCTGTCTGTGAACAGGTGGCTGGACAGTATCACTGGTAGGTAGTTCCTTTTTCTATTATTTCTTTCTGTTGTTTCTGGTTTCTGTCTGTGTGAGTGACAAAGGGTGTTGCTTGTAAGTCCTATTTCTTTTTCCCTCTATCTTTTCCGTATGCGTGAGTGATAAAAGGGCGTAGCTGAGAAGTCCTACTTCTGTTCTCTCCCATTGTTGTTTCCGTCCACCTGTCTCGCTTTTCCCCTGCCCCAACAGACCGTTACCGATTTCACGTGCACTTTTTTCCTCAAACCAAGTCATGTACGCATTCTCGTAGGGCTGGGCAATGAGTCGCTTTAGCAAAATCCGGATACCATCTTACTGCACCTCTTCGGCAAATAATATGATAGGAACCGCTTCGACAAATGGGTTAGAACCACTTCGACAAGCGGGTAGCATCATTTCAACAAATGGGTGCACCCACATCGGCAAACGAGTCAGGAAAACAGGAGTTAAGGGTTTGATTTCAGATAATATTTCATTGAGAATTATCCGGTTATCCTATAGATTATCCGGATTTTGCCCACCTCTACTTTCTGGTTGCGTGACCTTGGTCATGGGTGTGGTTTATTTGCCCGTCTCAGTACAGGTCCCTCAGTTTCTTATTGGCGAATAAACAGTCTTTGCTTGTTCTTCAACATTGTCCAATAACAGCAGCCGAACAATAGAGAGAACAGAATACGATCGCATAATGTATGCACACCTGAGTATGCACATACACGGAGCCAAACTAGCTGGAGACTGCAGAGGGGACAACAACTAGGCCATTTTGACTTCGCATGTCAAACAACAGATCCATCACGAGAAGGTTCTACTATCAACACCATCTCCCTCTTTCCCTTCCTCTCCCCCCTCCCCTCTCTCCTCTTCTTCTTTCCTTCTTTTTTCTTTTCTCCC